TGGAGAGAGAGAGAGAGAGTGGATGAGTGTGTGTGTGTGTGACGCAAGCAGGACGACGATGAGGGATGGCGCAGTTGGATGGGGTGGGCCGGCCGCGCGCCGGCGGCAGCCCCGGCCCAAGTGCTGCCCATCACCACCCACCAATTACCCCACACCACCACACCACCACACCACACCACCCTCCCCGCTGCCCCCGCCGCCGGCCCGCGCACTCACTTGCCGTTCTCCATCACATCCTCGTAGGTGGCCCCGTAGTAGACGTGGTCCACCCGGGCCCACATGATGGCTGTGTAGCACATGGGGCAGGGCTGGGCGGAGGTGTAGCAGACGGTGCCGGGGATGTGGGGCGAGCCGCGCGCCTTGCACGCCTCGCGGATCGCCTCCATCTCGCCGTGCCTGCGGGGGAAGGGAGAGGAGGGAGGGAGGGAGGGGGTGGTGCAACTGTATAGGGTGCAAAGTGCGTGTGTGCGCGCATGTGTGGTGTGATGGCAGGGAGGGGTGCACAGGGGTGCTGCGGGTGCTGGCCCGCCTGCCCAGGGGCGAGGCGAGGGTGGCTGCGGACGCGGGGCTGCAGCCGCAGGCAAGGCCAGGTACCCGGCGGCCGCGATGCCGGGGCCCAGCACTCTGCAGCAGTACCAGCAGCCCCAGCAGCACCAGCCCCAGGCGCCTCCCTCACCAGGTGGGGTCATTGTTGAGGATGACCTTGTTGTAGCCCTCACCCACCACCTCCCCCGTCTCCTTGTCCACGATCAGCGCGCCAAAGCAGCCGCCTGCAGGGGCGGGCGGGGCACGCGGGGTGGGCTGGGCGGGCGCGGGGCGGGATGGCGGCCCGGCGGTATGCTCCCACTGTCCCGCCCGAGGGCAGAACAGCCAGGTAGTGTGTGGCGCGGCCTGCAAGCAACCCAGGCAGCGCAGGGCAGCGCAGCGCAGCGCAGGGCAGGGCAGGGCTGGGCGGGGCAGGGCAGGGCAGGGCAGGGCAGGCAGCAGGGCAGGGCAGCAACGTGAGCCCAGCACAAGGCGAAGCCAAGGCACGAGCGCCGTGCAGGGCCCACGGCGGGGCGCCGCGCCGCGCCTGTCTGCTCCTCCAGGCCCGCCTTGGCCGACAGCTCGATGGCTCGCTTCATGTAAGTCTCGTGCGGCAGCTCCTTCGCCATCTCGCTTTGCTTCCCTTGCGTCGGCTTTCGTTTGGTCGGCAGCAGGGGACCCTTTAAACCCCAAGGTGGAGGGCTACGGCGTGTGCTGGCGGGGGCTGGGGCAGAGGGACCGACGGGCAGCCAGGTTGCGGGGGCAGGTGCAAGTGCAGTGGGGGAGGACAGTAAACAGGGAACAGGTCAGGCAGGGGAGGAATGCAGAGTATGTGGCTGCCGTGGCGGGGCTGCGAGGGCAGCGCCCCCACGGCGGCGGCAGGCCTGGACGGGAGCGGAGGTGTCGGCACCGGCGGCAGGGCATGCCGGAGGATCCATAGTCCCCACCGCTGTGGTGCACCGTCCTTACAAGCCCGCCACAAACCTGCTTGAGGGGTGGGCGGCCTAGGGCTTGGCCGGGAGGGCCACAGGCAGGGAAACGGGGGGCGGAAGCTACGTCAATCGAGTCGCACTAGCAGGATGGCGAGTAACGGGGGCCAAGGAAGCACCCTGCCCCACGTCCTGGCTTGCCTGCTGCGCAACCCCTTGCGTCTTTGTGCCCATCTGCGACCTCTGCTCGGTTACCCATCTTGTGGCTCGACCGATCGTACCCCCAGCAGGCTGCAGGGGCCTGACCAGCGCGCCTGACCACACCCTCGCCCTTGGCGGAACAGCGCTGGTGGCACCCTTCGGCACAGTGGCAAACAACACAGGTATGCCTTTACATGCGTCTGGCGACAGCCGCCACCGACCAGACCGAGAGCTGCCATCGGTGCCACCGCCTCGCCGCCGCCGCCTGCACCCAACCCACCGCAGAGGAGGGGCTTTCTGGGCGCCCAATCATGGCGCAGCCGTCTCGCTTGTGCTCGCTTGGAGATGACCTGCTCCTGAACATCCTTCAAGGCGTGCCGCTGAGTGACAGGTGCAAAGCTGGCTGCTCCCGCCGCCGCCACAGAATGCAACACGCCGCGGCACCTGTCCTGCTCGCCTCGCCTGTGCTGCACATCAGCTGCTGCCCGTGGAGGCGAAGGCGTGGCGGACCCCTGGCCTGGCGCACCTGCCTGCAGGCTGCGCTCGGTGGCGCTCACCAGCAGGCACCTGCGTGCCCTCACCACCAACCCAGCCCTGCTGGAGGTGGTAGCGGTTGAGTACAGCCCGGCACGCGCACCGGCGCTGCTGCGCTGGCTGGCGCTGCACGCACGCCACGTGCAGCACCTGAAGATCACTTCCCGGAAGCAGGCAGGTCTTGCGGCTCTGCCGCAGCAGGGAGGGCCGCAGCAAGTGGCGCTGGCGGCCAGCTGCCTGACAGCCGCCTGCGCTGCGGCGCCGCTCGCCGTGTTGGAGCTCGACTGGTCAGCGCCCCCCATGCACACCGTCGCATGGCTGCCCTTTGCTGGTGCCACGCTGACACGTCTGGATCTGGACGCTCGCGCAGCAGAGCTGCACATTGACACGTGCCTGGGTGGCATGGAGATGCTGAGATCTGCTGCTTTCAAGGGCGCCAGAGTCACGATGGCGCGGGGTGCCAAGCTGCCCGCGGCGCTGACCATGCTCCGGTTTGTCAACATGCAAGGCATTCCCCGCGCCGCCGCCGCTCCTCACGACAGTCTGCCGGATCTGCCAGAACAGGTGCGCATCACTGCACGACAGTGGCATGCCTTGCGTAGGCATGTTGTGCCCATCAGCTGCGATTTCGATGCACTTCATGCTGGCCTGTTTCACCGGTGCTGCAGGTAGCCACCCTGAGCCAGCTGGCGGATCTGCGCATAGTAGGATTCAGAGGCATCATGTTCAACCTACCACCCTCACTTTCCTCCCTGGCCCTGGGGGGTGGCCCACTGGATTGCCGATGGCTGTCCCGCCAGGCGCAGCTGCACCGTCTGGAGCTGCTGCCGTGTATATGCTCCGCAGACGTGCTTGGCAGTGCTGTGGGCGCGCTGCGGCAGCTGACCCACCTCGCATTCTTTTGCATGCCTCCCCCTTATTCCGGCCCGCCTGGAACTATTTGTGGGCTGATAAACCTTCGCAGCATGATTGTCGACTGCGACAACATGCTCCACCGGCTGCCATCACTTGACCCCTGCGCCTACCTCCTCTACCTGGCAGCGAGCCTGCCGACGGTTGCATGCAGCGAGGCAGCCCTGGCTGTGGCCACCCGACTGGAGCAGCTTAATGTGCTTCACCACAGGAGTGCCTTTAAGACACCGGCATGGGAGGAGGTGGAAGCTGGTTGGCGGGCGGTCTGCCGGTGGGCGGCATGCCATCCTTGTCTATCCCGCCTGTGGCTGTGGATCGAGCATGGAGCGCCACCCTTGCCCACCTTCGTGCATGCCAGCATGCTGGAACTGCAGCAGCATCGCCCGCAGCTGGCGGTACGCATTGTTGAGATCCCACCAGGCGTTCCTGTCATCAAAGCCCTGCGTCATCAAAGCCCTGCTGTCGCTGCTGTCGTCTGTGCAAAGTGCCAAGTGCCGTTCCATCATCTGCTGGCCCCCGCACCTTCCTTTCATTGCCCCTTCTCCCAGCTCCCCCTGCGATTGATGTCGAGTGACGGCCGTCCGCCTTTGCTACAACCCTTGTTGTTATTGGGCCAACATTCCCTCATGTGAAATGCAACACATCCAACAGCACACACATGCAATTTGGAGAGCAGGTGGCACAGCCTCCCGGCGAGGCATGCTCAACCGACGCGCACACACGTGGATCCTGCTGTCTGTTGCCTCTGGGTGGCGTGGAAGCGGGCGCTGCGCTGCCGCCGCCGCTGCTCGCCCTCTGCTGCGCACCTTCGTGTGTTGCACGCCGACGCGCACCAGGCCTGCACCAGCTGGCTGCCACGAGGCTGCAAAAGGCTTGCATCAACCCACTTCTTGAAAGGTGCCTGCCGCAGGCGCTCCGCAGGACCCCGCCGCCGTCCAGGCAGCCGCCTCAGAAGATGCGGGTGTTGGGGCGCTCATCCTGCGCAGCAGCGCAGCAGCGGGCATGTGGGCACCTGCTGTGCCGCGTCCTTCCAACCGGTCGGCAGCACAGGCGGAACACACGGCCGGTCGGCAGGCGGCAGCCAGCCAGCGCGCTGAGCAGCAGCGGCCCCCAGCGCTGCGCAGGCAGGCGCCAGCCTTCCGCAGCGGCATGCCATAGGCCCACCCAGCCGGGCTGGCAGCGCTCCCACCAGGAAAGTCTGTGTTGCAAGCTTGTCCTTGCTGAACTCAGGCGGCAAGCCCACACACGCCGAGCCATGCCCTCCACCTCCCCTCCACAATCCCTCCCACTGGCGACCCCAGCCATCCCCTCCCCTTCCCTCCTCCGCCGTCCCCGCACGCTACCCGCCGCCAGGCCCCACCTCCGGCTGGCGGCGGCCCTGCTGCAGGGCGCGGAAGATGGCCTGCTCATAGCCCTTGGCGCGCTCAGACGACTCGGGCGTCTCCGGCACGCCCTCCTGCGCAGGCGGGAGGCACGAGGCGGCAGGGTGGCAGGGAGCAGGTGCAAACCACGCTGCACGGCGGATGGCGAGCAAAGGAAGGAACACGAAGGGAAGAAAGGCAGCGCCCTTGGCGGATGCAGGCGTGGCCCACCCGCCACGTGTGCACAGCAGGCTGGGGTGGCGGCCATGCGTGGGCCGGGCTGGAGAAGCAGAAAGAGAGTGCCAGCAGGGACAGTCCCTGCCCGCTGTGCCACCTGTACGGGTGGTAGCATCATGCGGCTGGGCCGCACCTGGCGGTACGCTTTGGTGGGGAAGACCTCTGGGTTGGTCCACAGGTGGCGGGCCATGCTGCAAGACAGGAAGGAAGAAAGAAATGACAAGGGGCGTGGCCGGGCCCAGGCAGGCAGCGTGGCCGACAGGCAGGGCTGCGGCTCTGCACCACTCTGCCGCTGCTTCTTATCGCGGCAGGCAGGCGGCAGCGCATCTCGCCGCGCGTGCAGCCTCTGTACATGGCACGCTGCCAGGCTGGGTGCTGCAGAGAGGCCTCCGTGCTTCAACGCCTGGCGCTGCGCTGCCCCACCCCCACCTGTAGATACTCAGCACGCCGCCCACCACCACAACCGCGATGAGCGGGTAGCTGCGCTCGGAGGAGACGAGAAGAGGAGGGGAGGAGGGCGGGGAGCTGGTGGTTAGTGGCTGTTCTGGGAGCATGCTGCTCAGGCGACGAGAATCCAGCCAGCGGCCGGCAAGGGCCCAGTAAGGGCCAAGAGCGGCCCGGCAAGCGCGGCGCCGTGGATGGAATGGAGGGCGGCAGCGGCGGCGGCCGGAGGGGCCGGCGGGGCCTGCCAAGGTTGCAAACCCTGCTGCCCCGGGGCTGGCCAGGCAGACTTGGGGTGCCGCGGGCGCTCACACTTCGCTCCTGACCCAGCGGAAGGACCCTGCAGCCATCCTGGGCGGAGTGTCTTGTTCGCAAGTGGGAGGCCTGGGCAAGAAGGGAGCGTCCAAGGAAGAGCGGAGGTGGGCAGGCTAGCAGGCAGGAGGGTGGGAGGACGCCTCAGGAGGCGAAGGCTGACTGGGCGTCGCGCTGAGCCGTGCGCCGACTGACACGCCAAGGCTGCGATGAGAGGCAAAATAGGAACTGTTTGGCTGTCCTGCTCCTCCAGAGCGCATGGTGAGCCCCTCATGTCGAGCCCTGCCAGCAACCACTGGCAGCCGGCGCCCGCGGGTGCAGCGCTCCGCCATGCTGCCGCTCGACGGGGCGCGGGGGGCAGCTGCCGCCTCCCAGCAGCAACTGTGCTTCCCAGGAAGAGAAACCCGCAGGGCTGAACTGAGAGGCCTCTGAAGATGGTACTGCGGGTTTGTCAAGGCGCAGGGCCTGGGCGTCATTGTTTCGATCAAGCACATCCCCCAAGCAAAAGATAAGACACCGCAACATCGCTGCAGGGACTGAAGTCCACGTCAGATGGCTAGCTTGCTTGTGTGGGCTTAAAGTCTGGTAAAGCAAGAACTAGCTTGCAACATAGACTCCCCGCCGAAACGGGACGGGAACCGGGCGAAAGCAGAGAAAGCAATAAAACAGGGGTGGAGCAAGGCGACATGCAACGCAAGCAGCTGACAGGGCACGCATCGAAACGTGTGTATGACTGGCAAAGTGGCATGGCGCATTGGGGAGAAACGCAACGGTACGGGAGCATGGGCTGGCCAAACGGCAGTGCGGAACGCTAGGTCACTAGAAAAGCAGGGAAAGGCGCACTATGTATGCAATGAGGGCAGCCCCGGCTCGGGGCCGTTGAGAAAGCAGTGGGCGGGAGGGGGGAGGCCCCGGTGTGGGC